TATTATTATTATCATACCTCCTGCTCCAAACATTTACAGCATATGACCAGAACAGTGCCGGTCACGAAAGCTAGGTAATTGTACTTGACAACGACTGCAAAACACCTGATGGCGAAATACTCTACTACCGTGCTCCTGTGGAACCTGTCCCAATGTCCTCACGATGCCCGCCAGGCTTGACGCTCTAGTGTCTCCTTTTTCCCCTACGTCCCAACGGCCCTGACAAACTCGCTAACTAACAGATGCTCCAACAAGGCACGGCTGCCCCAGACTTGACCTCAGCATAATCAAGGCCACACGTGCCGGCAACGCGCACCTAGCGCGCATTGGCCAGCCTGCCTCCTTACCCATAGTCCTTTTTGTCCATGTTCCCCTGACTTGCCCTTTGGCCTGCCTAATCAGACACCCCACACGTACTCCGGCGTTCTGGCACGAACAATGGCAAACGCTTACACAACACACCTCTGCTGACAAGCTCCCGGACGGACGCTTTTATCTCTCGCAAGCAAACAGTCTATTCAAGGCAACTTGCCTTGTGTAGGAATACATTGTGGTCCTAACATTTGACTGCCTTCTTCTATCAGACGGAATAATCTTACTGTAGGGTTTTTAGTAGATCGCACATCCTTGACCACTGCACTCCCACCCCCTCCCCACAGGCCCCATACCGACGAATGTCAAAGGGGAGTCGCGTTTACCCATGTGGCCCGATTTAGGAACGGAATACGAGAGTTCAGATTTGCCTTGAACCAAAGGGACCATCGCATTACGACGAGCACCCAATAAGCGAGTACTGTATCGGCGGAATAACGATCGATTCAGAGCAGCTATTTTAACGCGCTAAAGTTTAAACGAACAGAACCTTCTCAAACATCTAGACCTGTATGATGTTTAGTTGAACAACCATCGTCCAATGGCCGGCAATGGTAGTCGTTAAAAAGGGGCATTCCGTCCCCTGTGACAACAAGACACACAGATGTCAATTCCAAAATACATTGTATTTGCCTATACGCTGAGCATATTTACACAAAGTATCCAGACACCCGCAAGCGGAATATGGGGGAGGGGAGGGTGACAAAAGGGATGAATGAGGGATATAGAAAATAGGGGTTTGTTAGGCGGCCAGCCGTGGGAACACGAAGAGCGTATTTTTGTAGACCGTCTCGGCCAGCTCGTCCTCAGAGACGCCACGGACACCGGCCACGACCTCCAGCACTTGTACAATATTGCACGGTTCATTCCGGCCTGCGACCATACAGTTGGAGTCCCATTTGTTGGGCTTCTTTCGTTCAAACTTGGTCTTCACGTATTGGTAACCTGCGAGACAACAACAACAGTGAAGCCAAAAAGATAGAGTATTACCAGCGTGAGTTGGTCGGATATCGCACCAGGGAGCATCTGTTTCCAAGACAATGCGTTCAAAAGGTACCTCCGAGACAACCTAGCAAAAGAGATAAAAGCAGAAGTCGAGGGAGTTGAGTGGCTGTTACCTTGGGCGACGATCGATTGTCTAACTGGGTATAAATACCAACAGATACTACGGAAATACTTGGTCTGCATGAGCAAATATGTCCAGTTATCCGACCGGTGAACGCACATCTAATAGGGTTAATATTCTGGACTGTAACAAGCAGAGTGAAAGAACCGTTGCTCAATGACAGTGCGGAGGACATAATAAAGTCCAAGGACCAGCAGAACGCAGGGTCAAGGCTAAGGTGTATGTTCCTTAACCATATGGATAAGCGTCATGGCTGGCTAGTAACCCTTGTTGGATCAGGAGCCCCGCCGGGTGGGCCTCGATCCCGGCGGCGAGGAGGAGTCGGAGCAGCAGGGTCGGGAGG